TTGGGTCTCTCCAGGGTGTTCTGATTGCTACACAAAACTAAAAACAAAGGATTCCACACACCACTTCACTATGCCTATTAGCTTATGAACGTAGAGTGGTCCTTTTAGCGACAGCACACTAAATAAATAAAAAGCCAAAACTATGGGTAGGTTAGCAAGCCACTCTGCAAATGACAATTTCATGATTCAAATGGGTTATGCAGATTCTGTTATGGTTTCACCCTTCCTTCCCTCAGTATGGTAAAAGATGATCTACAAAATTGTCCTCTTCTTGCCTAGCAGCTTGTAACATTAAAGTCCTCCTTAACATGTAGGCCATATGTAAGACAGCCCACACAGGACTGTCCTGGTTATGGAAAGAGGCATAACACCAAGATTCTTACATAAACCTTGAAGTTGTGACCACATACTAGTTTTAGGCGAATGTCTATGCTGTTTTAATGTCATGTACCAGGATAAAAAGCAACACCAGCATGAGACAACACTGTTCATTTCAGTGAACTTGAGAAGGGAAGGGTAAAGCAGCTATGACAAGAAACCCAAAGAGGCTGCTGAGCAGCAGCAGGGTGACAATTTAGATATCCACTTTCAAAACCAAGGTCAAACATTCTTTCCTTCCTCTCTCATTGCTCTTCCCTTCAAGAGTTTTACACTGGATGTTAACAGTCTCCCTTTCTCCAAGCAAGCAATTTTCCACTCTGATTTGTTGAGATTACAACATACAATAGGTGTCTCAAGATTTCTGTCAGCACACTATACAATATCCTACATGAAAGGATTCTCCCTGCACTTTTGGTCTGTTGTTTCTACAGCTGATGCACTACATGAACTGAAGTGGCATCAGCTGGGAAGCTAATGAAGGTCTACAGAAGCAATAAAAGAGCTAACAAGCAAAGGACTGCACTGCTCCAGATCTGGGTTCTGGCTTGCCTTTGCAAACAAGGTCTACGCTAGCAAGTGTTTTATGGTGCTGGTCCCTAGTAGTCCCATCAGTAGATGCCACCATGGACAAATACTGATGCACTTTAAATGTTTTAAAGTCAGTATTATTTCTCACTTTCCAAAAAGAAAAAAAGTGTGTGACATGTTTGATATGCCATTTGCCAAAGAATATGCCCCTCTGTAATTTGTAGTAGTAAACACAAAAGAGAATATTAATCTAGTCTTTTCTACTGTCTAACGGTCTGCAGTATTAGTAATTCAATAGATATGATCCTGTAAGTTGCTGCTGCAGAGTAGCTCCCAGAATTGGGAATCCCCTGCTTTTAAAGGCTTATGACTTCAGGACAGGACAAACCAGACCACAACAATAAAGAAGAATCAACACTTGCTAAAGCAATCCGGTTTTCTCAGATCAAACTTTAGACTGATAGCAGCTCTGAGTGCAGGTAAGCACAAGACTCTTCCAATAAGCAATGAGGCTTCAATGACTTTCAATAACTTACGCACTAAGAGAGAATCACTTATTAATTTAGGTGCCTAGGATATGGCATCCTGTGATTCCTTTTTGAAAAGCCTTGCCATGTTGCACTTACCCTATGCCATAACTTTAAGCACCTTGTACAGTTTTGCTGTTTTTTCCTCCATTTTCATTCATATCCACCCTAAGGGGAAAATATATAAGCATGACAGTAGATATTAGCTTAGTCTGACTATTGAAAAAAAATTTTAAAGTGTAAAACTGTTGTATAATTAAAAATACATAGCCACAGAGACACCTCTTTTCAATTTTCAGAGCGCTTAGCACACCACCAGCCAAAGAAACCACTTAAAACTAGTGGCAGTGGATTTATTATTTTTTTTTACAGGTATGCTTCTTAAATCCACCAGGTTTCAAAGCAATTTCTGACTTGGTTCCTTCTTTTGCCTTTGTTTAATATGTTTGGACTGACATTTCATATGTTTGGTCTCCACTTAAGGTTTCAGTTTTGTCTCTTGCCCTCCCTCCAAATTCAAAGCAACATCTGTCAATGGGATAAATAACATGACAACAAACCAGTTCTCCCCCACTGATAACTGTATTACAACAAGAAAAGTTCTGACGAGAGGTTTACAGAATAAACTATATTTACTACTATGTAGTGTGAATAAATAATCCTGTTATAGAAATGTATGTTTGGACAAGTGAAGCAAGAACAGATTAAATTCAAGCTTAACAAATTTTAAGTACAACTTGTGGTTAAAAGGGCAATGACTTAAGTGGGAAACTGTCAAATGCTAGGAAAATGAGAAGCTCCATCGTTCTGTAGCTTACTGTATGCCCTTCCTCCCAGCTTTGTAGCAGCTCAATTTTTATATTTGGTAAATATAATTAACAGCATGCTCTGATGAGAGTGTAGTTGTAGGGAAAGAAGAATGGTTCATTTCAATCAGGTCTTCTTGTCGTGGGAAAGATAATGAGACACTAAGTTTACAAGCAGCATGAACACGCTAGAAAAGTACCCAAACCTGGTTTTAAATAAATTGTGCCTGTTCCACATTGAATCACTTTCCAGCACTATTAAAGTCATACATCTTATTGCTCCAAGATAAACAACTGAAGTTGATTCTGCACTTTGAAGACTTTTTCTATTTCCTGAGAGTTTCCTTTAGAACATTCCTCTTGTTTATTATCACCCAGCTAATTTTGTCATTTGACACTACTTGAGGTTCTGCCTGTATTATCACAGATGAGCCTGGGCTCAGATAGCTCCAGTCTGCAAAGCACCGAAATGCACTGAACACAAAGAATTTGCTAGTATTTCATAGAATCATAGAACAGTTTGGATCAGAAGGACCTTAAAGCTCATCTAGACCCAAGCCCTGTGCCATGGGCAGGGACACCTTCCACTATAATAGGTTGCTTAAAGCCCCATCCAACATGGCCTTGAACACTGCCAGGGATGTGGCAACCATAGCTCCTTTGGGCAACCTGTACCAGTGCCTCATCGCCCTCATAGTAGCTCTTTCTTGTGTGACAGTAGTGATTGTGTGTAGTTCTTTCACTGTGTGACAGGGCTATGATTAGTAAGTATTTTCACTCTTTCATACTGAATATACTTATAAAAATTGTTAAATAACCCCCCGTAACATTGTGTATGTAACAGGTCCCAGAAACAGGTTGGTTTGGTTTTCCTATCAGTATAGACGAGCTCTGTAGCCTTTTAAGCAAATGGAGAGGCAGCGGTTAAGGCCTTCAGCTAAAATCCCATTTTCTTTGCGTACACAACCTCAGACTTGATGGTACTTGCACAGAGAGGAATTTTAAGTCCAGTGCAAAGAAGCTTGGCCCGAGGAGCCTGGTACGTTTTACTTTACTACTACATTTTACTCTGACGCTTATGCTCTACCTCTTAAGATACCTTACACGTCCTTACGGATAATTTTCCTGCTCGAACAGTTTAACGTTTAGGCTCCCCCTTTCTGTAACTGATCAACGGTTCAGCACGGTCGGGACAAAGCGAGCAATGCCCGGAGCCAGAAGTGGAAGTCGCAGCCCGCCAGTGGACACCCCTAGGGCATGTGCTGGCAACCCAAGCAGACTCCGGGCTCCGGGCATGAACCGCGCCGTCCAACCCGGCCCCGCCGTGCTCCCCACACCACCCGCGGGGCCAGAGGAGAGGTAAGCAGGTCCGGGCCCCGCCGCTCCCCTCACCTACCTGTGAGGCGAAGAAAGCCGCCGACGCTCTCGGGTAGCGGCAGGAGCTTGAGGTACGCGGGAAGCTGCACCTTGACGATGCGGGCTAAGCTCTCCAGCACCATGGCGGCGATCACGGCTCAGGGGATATCACTCTACGGCTAGCAACTGTCCCCGCCACGGCGGCTGGCGCGCTGACCCGCAATGCTCCCGCCACGCATGCGCCGCTGGGCGGGGCGACGCCAGAGGTGCAGCCGGTTCCCCCCAGCTCGGGCCGCGTTTCCGGCGGGCGCCGCGGGCGTCGCGTCACAGCCGGAAGGGGGCGGTGAGGGTTGTATCAGAGCCCTGTAGATAGTGGGGCAGGGCTGGGGTAGGGTGAGATTGGGAGGTATGATGGCGTCTCCGGGAGTAAGCTGCCCCTCTGAGGGGAGGGGAGCCGAGCCGAGCGGAGTAGAGTAGAGTAGCGCCGTGCCTGCGGGTGTGTGGTGCTGTCCGGCCTGGCCCCGCTTGAAGGTACAGCTAGGGAGGTGAGGGAGTGCGGCTTTAATAACGTGTGGCTTAAGTTTTATAGGCTTTATGTAATGTGTCGTCATCTTGTGATAAAGTTGTGTTTCATGTCGACGGGCTTAAAAACATTGAAGTAAAGGACTGGAACTTTTTCTTCATGTGGATGGTGTTTTTCATATGGTATCATAACTCTTTTGAGGTGGGATGAGTACTGAGAGAATTAATATTACACAAAGAAGCCCATCTGCCTCATGTTTGGCAGTAGTTTGTGCAGAACAAGCTCTATCTGTGAGCACTTTAGTTAGTTTTATTGAATTTTATGTCAAGGATACTGGTTGTTTTGGCATACAAAATTGTCTGTGTAGCCAGGAGGGAAAAATAGGAAGTATGTATCCTTTCCAGGTCAATTTAGATAATCCAGCCAGACCTGAAGACTCTTGCATTAGTCTTTTGGTCACAAGTACAACACCATTTGGTTCAAGATTCTTTCCTACAGTGGGTAATCCATCAAGTGCTAATAACATATAGTATAGAGCATGACTATCTTCAGGAAAGCTGAGGTAGTGCAGTCCTTCTAGAAGACACATTTCCTACCTTATGTGATTTTGACAGGAGCACAGCTGTCTTCAGTGTATGGAAACTGCACCATATCTGCCTGCATCAACTGTGCACTTTCCCTGCCATCCCAGAATTAAGAAGTTAGGGGATAAGTTAATAGGGTTCAGCAAAGCAATGAAAGAGTAATATAGGTATTTATTCAGATGAACCCATTTGGGTTTGTCTTTGGGTGAATCTACTCACAGCTGTGTTTGCCTTGTATTGACTAAGATAAATGAAGTGCTAGATCTCTTTTACTGGTTTGCTTTAATGACTTAACCAAAAGTTAAAATCACCGTAAAGAGCTAAGGTAAAAGCTCCAAATACTGAAAGCAAGGTTTGAGACAAACAAATCCACCTTGTTTGTGCTTCTTGCCCGAATAATACTGTGACCTTACATTAACATTTCCTGATGAATCATCTTATTTAGCTAGCAAGAATATTCCTGTGATCTCAGAGTATCTTAGTTCCCTACCTCACCTAAGTTTATCCTTGTAATGACTATGTCTGATGTCCTAAGATGATTCCTTCTGGTGTAGGCAAATGCCTGCTATTAGACAAGATAATGAAAGAGCAAAATGCTCAAAATGCAGAATAATCACTCTGTAAAGATTACACATCAGATGTCATGATGTAACCTTGTTTGTGAAACTTGCTGAGGCAAGAATATATATGGCTGAAGATATATAAGTTAAATCCTCCAGCTCTGAATCAAACAATTTCACACCAAAGTTGAGAGCCTCTGTCCTTGCCACCTCCTCCTTTTCTTCTGCTGTTTCAGCCTTCTCTGGATGCTAGCCATGATCCTGGGAGCACAACTGACATATCACTGAAGCTGCTGAGACCCACTGTGCTGCCTTTGACCAGTGCTCCACTCAGCACACTGCTAGGCAATCTACACATGTTGCAGAGGGGAACTGTTCTCACTGTGCCTCGCCTGTCTACATAGGTGTCAGTTGACATGAGCCATTAATGGTTTCCATATATGAAAGGCTGAAGTCATAAATAATGGAAAAAACTATAAAAAAATGAAGCCTGAATGAGATTGTTAACTTTAGGGGAGGCAAAAGAATGGTATTTTGAAAAACAGTTTCAACTGGAGCATAGGAGATGTGTGCTCACTGTCCAACTTGGCTTCAGACTTCCTGTTTCACTTAAGGGGGAAAATGTCAGCTGCAGGCTTGCTCAGTCCTGCAGAAAAAAACAGGGTTTTACACAGTAGTCCTATCTTCAGGGACCATGCTATGGGTCATATCAGTCAACATCAGGAGGCTTACTATGCAGGTGTGACATCTTTCTCCTGTTACACACATTTAACACCTTACGTGGACATTCTTATTCCACAGGCAGATTGCTTCTTCAGGATTTTATCAGCATCCTTTTCAACTTTGCCTCAAATCTCATTACTGTTGGGTATGGGAGGTTGGAACTTGATGATCTTAAGGTCCTTTCCAACCCTAACTATTCTATGATTCTATCTGGAAAGTTTTCTACCTTTTTTGGGGGAGAGTAATATGCAACAATCCATTCTTGCATATTTAGATTCCGTTTGGAAACTGTTAAAAAGTAGAGATTGCCTCTGTTTCATGCTGAATTTGTCAACTGAAACTCTGGTACTGTGTAGGATATACATAAGTCATTGTAATAAAAATAACAGCACAAATCTCCCAAGCATCAATACTTGAACAAAACCTACATCATCAATACTGGAATAAGATTATTACTTTCAGCAGTAAGTATCCTCTGTCACTGGGATTTTTCATCTAGCAGGAAATGCTCCGGATGAGATGGAGCATGGAGTCCACATGTGGAGACCTACAGATCTGCATAGTGCTAGCTCAGGTCTTTTGCATGGAAGTCCCAAATCACAGCCCAAAAGAGGACCAGCCCAACATGCTTTGACAAGAATGGTAGAAAAGCTTGTGGTGCAGATGCAGATCATGCTTGGCAGAATAAATTCATGTCACTATAACACATCTGAACTGGTCCAGCTTGCAGTAGAGTGGCTAGTCCTGGTTCAGCAGATTGAGCATAGGTGAAAAGAAGGTGGTTGTGTTTCTCCTTGTTACCTTTCAAAAATCGCTTGATTTTCCTATGCCTTTAATTCAGCTGTAAAATGAGATAATACTGCCCTGTTTGGAACACTTAAGATTTTGCAGAGAAAGAGAACATTTATAAACTATATTTATTTTATTTTACGAAGTACATCCAGTAAGGATAAAAGATTAAAGGTTCTGAGGTAGCAGATGCAGTCTTTCCATCTCTAAAGCAAGACTATATAGCATAATGATTTGCTCAGCACTCTTTTGTGGTAATGAGGTTTTCTATCAGTGGGACATCTTATATTCTTTAAACCATTTTCTTGGAATTGGCACTGCCATATTCCATGCTGAGTGCCCGGAATAATCTCTGCAGCAGGCAAAAAGTACTGTTGTCAACTAAAACCATCCTGTCACCAGAGGGCTGGCTTGTGTAATCAGCAAACACAAGCTTCTGTTTAGGAAGAAGCTAGCTCTCTCCCTTTGTATTTGATTCATTTCACAATGGGCTTCGATTTGCTGCTCTCCCTGCTGTATGCAAAGATTTCCCTCTTTTCCAGTTCCCCAAAAGTAAGCAAAATCATTGCACCCCAGAAGGGCTGTAGGAACTGTGATTCATGTCATGTGGTAGCTCCAGCTCCATCATTTAGTTATGCAGCACTTTCAACGTCCAACTGTAAAATAATTGAATCTCAAAAAAAAAAATAAAATAGTCTGTCTTAAAAAAACCTTAAGACTGTATAAGAAGGTTACTTTCCTCTCTTTTATGCTTAAACAAGTTGCAATTGCATTGCATGAAGGTTAAGGTTTCATTTCTTATTTTTACATCCAGAAGCTTAATTGCCTTTGGAAGAAAGTGGAGATGTCATGCGTTCACTTAACTCTGAGACCTGGCACCTTAGGTGACTTCTGCTGGTGTTTATTGAAAATACCTACTGTTCTGTGGTAGGCAAAATATTTGAGAGAAAAATTAGTAAAGGAAACAAATCACACTTATAATAGAATTAATAGGGTCATTTTGTATAGCATAGTTTTCATATTGAAATTTGAGTGTTGGAACTAGATGATCTTTAAGGTCCCTTCCAACCCCAACCCAAACAACTCTGACTGCATGATACTACTTTCTAGTCTAATGAATGTCCAGGAATTTTAGAATGTAACTGTTACATTTTGAAAGCAGGTGCTAGGGTAATTACTTAAGTAACTGCAGTGTCCTACTAATAGCAGGTATAATTGTTGAATCCCCTGTGTCTTGCTATTTATTGTCACAGATTGTAGTAAATTAATTTGTGGAAAACAGTGAATACAGGAATGTAAAGCAAAATGGCAAGATTTCTAAAAATTGGATCAAGTTCCAACATGGCAACTTTGTGTATGACAGAACACAGCAGTAGACACAGGTTTTATTTATTCAAGAAAAATACCATGCTTTGATCTCTCAGCAATAGGTTTAACTTTAAATTAAAACAGTAGGTTTTCATTATTTTTTCTGACTACTACTGCCAGGAAGTAGGAAATGTTATACAAGTTGTGTATGGAACAAAGTTGAGGAACTTCCCAACTCAAGAAAGAGCAGGTGTATTCAGTGCTAAATTCCGAGATATCCCCAGATAAAATTTAGTTACTTTATACTTACATTGCATGTTTTCTCCAGGCTGGAACTGTCTTTTTATGCAATGGTTAGCACTGGTCCACAGTAGCGGTTTCTACAGCTACTGTGTTTGCAGAAATATCACAAACTTTGAATATTCACTTGGTTACACTCAGTTACTGATTTCAACCGCCTTTATTTAAAGCATAGAAAGTAACAAAGTGTGTGACATGAAGCTACTGTAGGTACCATCAGTCAGCTAACAGCAACGATGCTCAAGAAAGCACACAGTAAGTGTAATATTGCAGTGAGTTTTAAATTTTGACCCACTGCATGAATCACCCAGTCTTTTAGAATCATAGGATGGTTAAGGTTGGAAAGGACCTTAAGATCACCTAGTTCCAACCCCCCTGCCATGGGCATGACACCTCCCACTAGGTATCAAGGCTATGTTAGCCTGTCCTTGAACACTGGCAGGGATGGGGCATTCACCGCATCCTTGGGCAGCCTGTTCCAGTGCCTCACCACCCTCACAGTAAAGAATTTCTTCCTTATAACTAACTTAAATCTCTCCGATATGTACTGCTTATTAGGATTCAGATTGATATGATCACTGGTCACATACAGACTTGCGCAGATTTAGAACTTAATTGGCTTCCAGGGAGTTGCTAATTCACAACAGTTTTACTCAGATCAGAACAAGTATCCGTAGGGTTCACTTACATGTTCATAGAAGGCCAGATACATTACTGATCTGTGTCAGGTTCTGCCTGGTTTGTTGCAATAAAGCAGGCTGCAAAATCACCAGATTATCCCCTGGGAGGAAGCCACAGTGATGGAAAACAGATACATCCTCCTCTACTATAAAGGACCTATGGAGGACAAAGCTGACATAATCTAGGAAGTACACACTGCTAAATGAACATACGTGAAATAAAACCACTATCAAAACACTACAAGCTGCTCTCTTATGATGGGAATTCCAGGGGAAAGAAGCTATTTATATGTCAGTATATTCTCAGCAGAAGACCACCTACCATTCCGTTTTAAACTGCATTGATCTTTATTGTCAGTATGACTGTATATCCTTGACCAGGCAACTAAGGGTATATTTGTTTCCTTAGTACTTTAATCCCTTGGCATAATAGCTGTCACTGAAAGCTGTTTCCTTCATTTTGGAAGACAAAGGTGAGAATGCCACAAGACTAAGTCCTGTGATGCAATATGCATTCATTGGCAGGGGCTAATTATAGCACAGAATAACTACCAGCTTCCTCTGCCGAGGACAGAGTACATGATCTCTGCAATATGACTGCACTCTGCTCTTAAGTTCTTCCTGTGTCACGACACTACTGACACCGCAGCAAAACAGCAGTTTGTCATTCCTTCCCAGGCTGCTCTGTAACAACAGTGATGTGGATATTTCTGAGCCTGTCTCTCCTCTTTTCAAGGTTAGACAGGCGTGGCATTGACAATAATGCGCAATTCTTCTCTGTCATCTCACAAGAATAAAGAGGAGCAATAAAAGAACAAACTCAACCCCCCAAAATATCATGCCTCTTGAATTTCAGAAAACATATATATAATGGATGGAGAGGAAAGCAGGGAAAAAGTGGCTATCTTGATTCCAAGGCAATGACATGGAATAGTACTACAGCAGGTAAACAAGGTTAATATAGCCTCCTTAATGCCTAGCTTAGTAATGCTTTTTATTTTCTATTTTTTCTAGGCACTCCTTGTCCTCTGGACTCCAGGTTAACTATAGCACAGTGCACTTCCAGACCTAGGGTAGTTGGCTGTTCCCTAGAAGATGTGTAAGTTACTTCCTCGCTTTACTTTTGAAGATATTGCCAGAATTTTATAGAAATTCTGTACTTCACACCGGTACAGGCAGCTGGAAGGTCTGGAAATACTTCTTTGAAATCAGTTTCTTTTTTTCCCTTTGAATCATCAGAGAAACCAACCAGCACAAAAAGTAGGATATAAACATAGCACCTCAAAGCTTACGAAGCTTACTTTACCAGAAATGTAAGCCTAATGACTGTGAAAGGTGAAAATTATATTAAAAACAAATACATGGTAATTAAGAGGCATACATCAGCATGCAAGGGGAGTGCTTTTGGAAACCAGTAAAAGATCCTAATTGTTTATTGAAAATAAGTGTTGTCATAGATGTCTATAGCTAATTTATTAAGACGCTGGAGAACGTTTTAACCTGCTTCACCAAGAGGAATGTTATATTTTTTTTCTTTTTTTTTACACTTTTATGTGAGTTATTTTGACAGCTCCAGGGCTAGAAATGTTGTAATTATTGAGAAAACGAGTGTGGTAGAAGTGGGTACCCCACATAGTCCCTCAAATTGCCTGTCCAATATGATTTGATACTATCAAATATCCCGAATGATGTAAGGGTAGGTGTGTAAATTAGTTTCCAAGTTCCTGAGTCCTCTATGCCTAATTGCAGCAGTATTAGTTTTTCTAATATGGGAGCTAAACTGAGATTGTAAAATCATTTAATATAGGCAACAAATAGGAAGGAAGGACTAAGAAATTATCTTTTTTTTTGCTGTTAACTTGGATTTAAATTGCTGTTACTGAGAAGAGTAGCATCTTGGATCCTACTGTCCTTAAGCCAGTGTTTTTCAGTTGGTTTTCTTTTTCAAGATGAAAATTGCAAAAAAAATAAAAGTTTCAGCCCTCCTTGTCTTTATAAAACTGAATTGATACCTGCTTGTAAAAGTGACAAATATATGCAATATTTCTTGAAAGGCTGAAAAGCGTGCCGACCTTGAGGAACAAAAGTCACCAGAAGCACAGAAACTAGGTTGCCTTTGCTTTATAATTTGCACAATTTTCAACAACGTGCCAACACCTGCCTGTGATTCATGACTACTGTGTGTCACGACCCACTCTTTTAGCAACACTGCCCTGATCCATCCCCCTAACCTTAGTGATGAATAGTGTAATAATTGGCTAATTTCAGTATTGGTGATTTACAGTCATCAACAGTATTTCCCAAATTACAACATGACAGCAAACAAGAGTAATATTCCTTCTAAGAGATATATTTGCCTGTAATTACCTGAATACTTGAGGTCTAAGCGAGCTCTTGGACACCTTTTGGTTAACTGGGACATACCAAAAACAGGAAAGATCAGCCAGATCTTTAAGGATGAGGTTGTTCAAAAGGACAAAAAGAAAAGTAAAATGACTGCTAGTACCACATGATAGTTAGCTAGTTAAATCCATTGTCTAAATGCACAGCATACACTCCTGCCAGTTCAAAGACAAACAAAACCAAAAAAAAATGGAATATTTCAGTGGACTTTCTTATTTACTTAATTCTGTATTTTAAATTAATTCAATAGAGTGTCAAACGATTAAACCACAGCAATCTACAAGACTGTAATCCTTTTCCCAGGGAAACAACATTATTTTATATAAAACAGGGGGGAGAGGGGAAAGAATGTTTTACAAGGAAAAAAAGCCTCAAAATGAAGTGACAGAATCAGCTTCCTACCTTTGCTGAAGTGTCATATTTATTTAGCTACAAATGTGTGAAGGATTCACCAACAGGACTGCCTCAGAAGAGGAAATAGCCAAGAAGTGTACCTTGCTGTGGGCTATTTGGGATGTCAGTGGTTCAAAGGGCTCCTAACACAGCGAGGGTCACTGTCCCAGGTCTTCTGGAAATCTCTGTAGGGAAACCTCCCAAGACAAAAGGTGGCTGTAAAATGCTTCAGTATAAGGTACCCCATCAGTGTCTTGATTAGCTCAGGCTAACTCTTTCCCTGTAATACTAATCAAACAATGGAAATTGTTTTTAGCATGCAGCAGGCCACGTGCAAGGAAGCCTACGCTTCAATCAGTGCAGCATGTTGTGAAGCCTCAGCAGCCTTGCCTATACTAGGGAGCCTGTAAAATATGTTAGCTATCCTTACTAATTTTAATCCTTAACATTTTATCTGGATTAGCAACTTCTATAGTGTATTAGGTACCCTGGTCAAATAATTTGTTGAACCCAAGACTGCTCAAAGGTTGAGTACATTTGCATCCTGGATCAAGCACTGGAGGAGCAACTGAATCTGGATGGTCCAAATCTGACTAGTAATCAGTTACGTCAAAGTAATAAAACAGACGTATCTTGAAAGTGCTTCACAGAGTCCTTTGATGTGTCCTTTAGTAAACACAATGGGCCAAATTAAGTACTGCTGAAAACTGCTGTAAGAGCTTGGTCATTTTCAGTAACAGTGTAACTCTTACAGACTTAGTATGCAGTCTGATCACAGCCTGAGGGATCAAAAAACAGGTATAACAAGGAAAAGCAACCACCTCTATGGTGAAAGTAGGTCACCATTAAACACCTTTTTAAAGTGATCTCCAGCGGATGTACCCTGGCCTACCAAAACTGATAGAACTCTGGTTTGCTCCAGAGAGGGGTTCCACCTGCTGCATTGAGCCTGTGTTATCTTATTTTAGTAACTGTGATTAATTATGCTGCCCTTCACACCCCTATTTTAAGATGCTATTTTGCTGCATATGTTTAAATTATCTATGTTTATTCAGGAATGTAAAGAATTCATCTGAAAGAAGAAAACAAAGACAGTAACTGCATGCCAACAAAAGTTTTCGTTTTTCAAAGTTGGCACTGCAATTATGCTGTGCACGTGCTCATCTGACTTTCATGCTTCAATATCCATAGAGCTGAATCAGCACAGAAAATGAACATTCTTGTTGACGCAAACTGCTGCTGACTTGAAAGGAGTATCTTTTTCATTTAGATCAAATGGCAGTTTTGCTGGGAAAAAAATGAATGCTCTGTATGAATAGTAATAAATATCCTGCAGCAGTTTTCAGAGATTTCGTTGTTTAGGTCTGTGAAAATAGCAGCATGCATTTTATGTTGTCAAAACTTTCTTCTTGTCAGATAGCTCTTATTTTCTGTAAGGATCTCAAAAGAAGAGAAAAATCTTCTCTAACTGAAAGAAAACTGCGCTGTCACTATGAGGCTAAACAGTGAAGTGCTGAACAAAATCCTGACGACTGGAAGATTTTGTGGGGAACTTTTGTCTGCTGATGTCAATGTAAGTTACTGAAGTATTTTATATCCTTGCAAATCCCACATGACCTCCTGCAAGCTGTGGAACCTTAGCATTATGCAACAAAGCACTCAAGCTTTTCAGTGAGACTCGTATGTGGACATAAACATTAGATCTTAACAACTCCTTACATAAAGCAGCAACAATGTAAAATGGATTAATGTAAGTACCTGGTGTCTTGCCCCATGACCTAGCAGTGAAACATAAGAGTACAACTATACAAAACAAACATGTGGAATAGCTTATGAATTATTCAAGTGAGAATGTCAGAGAAGCTGTTGAAGAAACAATGGGAGATGAATAATTGCCAAGTTAGAATATTGAGACAAAGTTACTTTTTATCTAAAGTTCCTTAGCTAACTGCTACCCAACATACTGATGTTGGGCTGGACTCCAGATGTGGATTTTGCTACCTCTTCTTAACAGGAGTGATATGGCCCCAGTGTAAAACCCAGAGAACTGAGCACACAGTACAAAGGCTGTAACTGTGATCTTGCTGTCCTTCTTGAAGGGGAGAAGCCCCAGCTACGCAGGAAGGGCTGCTGGTCTTTTGTATTTAAAGCACAGATCGGGTGGAACTCAATGACATCCCTAACCTGTTTTTCTTCCACTATCATGTAATGGCATGTGGGTTAGCAAATTCAGCTTTTTTATTTCTTGTGTTAAAAAAGCTGATGGAACAGTCTTATCAGCTTTCTTCTATGATCTTCCTGTCTGTGGTCTGCACTGAATCGAAAGGGCCCCCAATAGGGTGAGTTTTGGCCAGATTAAAGAGGGATTTGACTGCAAGCTTGATTTATGATAATTAAAGAAAAAACAAGTTGGACAGGATGCTGAAATTTGAGGCCTGGTAATACACGCAAACAGGGGGAAGGTGTTGTTGTTCATCTTCTTGGCACTTTGTTTTCCAGCAGCAAAAGCTGTTTGTGTTTTGTCTCCTCCAAACAAGAACTAATAATTATCTACTGGATGGACTAGTAAGAGTCTTGCTTTTGCTGAAGTAAATTTTTTTTTCTTAGCTAAAAAGGAGTATTTTTTTTTTTTTAAACACTTTGCATCTTGTTTCTCTCTTTCCATTTTTTAAAGCATCCTGTATGGAATACTGCTTGGTGTCCAGGGTGCTTGGTTGCTTGAGCCGTTCTGAAGACAGGTGGAATAGCATTCTCAGAATGTAAAAAAGGCTGCTCTGATGCAAGTGGAAGAGAAAAACTGATATTCATGTGCAAGCATACTACACTTAACCTTCAAACTAAGGCTGGTCTGCTCCTCCCTCAAGCCCCCTTGAAGCTGAAGTGCTATGACAACATATCAAGGCAATCTCCACTCATGCTTGCTCTGCTGGACCATCACAAAGCAGCTGAAATGTACTAGCCAATTCAGCCTTTGAGAGGTTATTGGCCAAGTGGCTGCACAGGACTCTGTAATGCCATACTTGATAAAGAAAACAAAATTCAAGGAGGAAGGTCAAGTGAGCTGGTCTGTTCTCAGTACTTCTGTGCAAACTGTTTCTTACCGTGCCACATATACTGAGCTATTTCGCAGAATAAACCACTGAACATCTAACCCACCTTTACTACCGTATGAGGATTAGACATGGTAATACCTCTCTTCAGCCACTTCTGAGGATTAGTTCCAAAAATCAAATTAAAATGAGGCAAACCCAAATAGACTGGGTAGTTCCACAATAAGGTGCAATGCTCATATTCGGTAACCATCATCTGTGCTTCTTGCATCTAATATTACTGGCTGCAAGTAGCATTATAGTACACCCGCTGTGTGTGGTAAAGGTGAGAAACTCTCTGTGTATGGCCCATCAGTATATTAAGGTCACGAGGCCTTAACTGCCTGAGTGTTCCTGCTGAAGTAAAAGATCTATTTCAGTTTGTTTATTTCCAAACACCGAGGGGGAAATACATGATTGTTACCTCACCTTTATGAGGAAAAAAAGAAGCAAGAGCGAGCAGCAGAATGTTACCCAAGCAGGACTGTGTGCTGTTGACTTGCTGAAGTGGCCACAGAACTGTGAGCGCGCGTCTTGTTTTTCACTCCTACACAAGTCAATATGCTTTATTTTTTTTCTCAAGTACATTTAAAGATAAATGTTTAAATTGATGGATTTGGTTTAAAAGAAACAACCAGTGAGTGTAATAAAGTGTTTGTCTAAAAAGGTACACTAGACCAAAATATGCAAACCCAGTTCTGAGCAATGGCTAGAAACAAGAGCTATCCCAATACATTTTAAATTCTCTTTGGAGTCAAATGCTAGTAACAGATATTGCTTTTAACATGTAACTATTGAAAGGCACACAGACAGAACTTGATTTACCAGATTAACAATTCCTGTTGTCTAAAATTAGCAGGGAAAATTACACACTGTCAACAGTATGTTTGTGCTGTTCTGCACTGCTTTTTATTATACAGTAAAATGTGAATCCGAAGCCAAATTAAAACTTTGTAATAGTCATATTAAGACATCATTAATCTCAAATAATAATTAAAAGTATAGAACTAGAATACTGTTAAGTACCTAAATCTCCTGAGATGACAAACAAAAAGTTCAGGAAGTTTGTAACCAATTTACAAGGCAGAGGAATATGTCTGTGTCAGAGACACACTGTTGATCTTGAGCAGTTTTAACAGCAGTTGCAGCCTAAAGCAGGCAAGTAACAGCAAGGTGATTTTCAGCAATATGCTTGATTAAGATGGTAAGAACATTAATGGATAGTTTGGGACTACTGTTCCCAAATATAACACTCAGTGCAACCAAAATAATAAGCAGAAAATGAAGACAAGGACTACTAAGAATGGTTTAGGTGATCATGGAAAGATAACTGGACATTATAAGTACATGGCATTGCTTTCTTTCCCACCTTTACATGATATGAATGCTCAAAAACTGTGACGGTCCTACTACAGTGCTATTTGTAAAATAAATAAAGCATTGCTCCCATAATTCACTGCTGGCTGCTCTCAAGCTTCATAGTGAAAACATTGTTACACAATCAGGTTTTCTGAACATGCTGCTTTTGCCAAACAACAATAACCATCCTAGATAGCAAGAAAACAGTAGCGCAATAAAGGCAGTATAATGAATGCAAACTCTGTTCAGTGCTGTCGATGTAGCTAATTACATATCCATGCTCCTTGGATAGCAAATGCCATGCTTATTAACACGATGTATCTATCCCCTTGTTGCAACAGAAAGGCAGCCTTGCATCCGTTCTCTGCCTGTTCCATTATAGAAGCAGAGGGGGATTCCTTCCCCCTGGACACACATACACAGCTATACGTAAACCTACACACTTTATTACCGTGAGAAAAGAGCCTAGCAGAGAACAGTTTTAAGTAATATTTGGTGACCCTGGCCCCTGCGCTGGCAGTCTGTTGCTGTATCTTCCCCTTGGTCGTCTTTCTCCCTAGACTGAGAAACTTGGTATGGTTTATTTGTCTGTGCCGGTATGCTCTCTTAAACCAAAGCGTCCAGGCCCGTTACCAGCAGGCCAACCCTGCGCTCCTCCCCGATACTGCCGCTCCCCCAGGCCAGAGCAGGCCTTTTGCTGCAGCACCGGCACTGTACCGATGGCTGCAAACCCCGTGGCTTCAGGGCGCCGTCAGGACGCACATCCGAGCCCCAGCGGCGCGGGTGCGAAGGTGCCGGCGTTTCTTCTCTCGAGGCCGATGAACGTCCGAGCCTCGCTCCTTGTCGCGCCACTGCAAAAGCAGCCCCTTCCAACCGCCCGCCAATCAGCCACACGGCCACCGACTTTGGCGAAGGAGCAGGGCCCGCACCAAGCGGCTCCAGGCCCCAGCACGGTCCAACCGCGGGCAGGCGGCGGACAAACCACGTCCTCCCCGTGCCACCCGCCGGCGCTGGCAGACTGATAAGGGTGTCGGGAAACCCGCGGAGGGATACCACGCTGCCGCATGACCGCACAGATGTAGGCCCGGCCGCTGCCGCCATATCGGCCGGGGGAGGGTTGGCTTGTCGTCAGAGGAGCGGGCCGCCGCGCCCAGGTACCCGCAGCGGAACCCGCGGGCAGCCCCGCTCGGGCGGCGGCAAGCAGCGCCACCGCAGAAGGGCTGCCCTGGCCGACGAGCCCGTGGGCCGCCCCAGAACCTTCCTTTCCCTGTCCCGCCCTCCGGCTACGAGCCCGCGTCTACCACTCGCGAGATCACGCCCGACCTGAGCGGGGCTGGACCACAATACGCACCGGCAGCGCATGCGCCCGACCCACCCGGCGGCGGCTGCTCCGCCCCTTCTCCCTGCCGCGGGGGGTTGAGCCGCTGGCAACGGCTTGTCTCGCCCTGTCCCACCCCTCCGCGGCTCCGCCTCTCGCTTTCCCGCGGCGCCTAGGCCTGGCAGGCGGCGGTTGTGCCGGACTCTCGTCCTCTTTTTCGCTTGCGGGCGGCGCCTCTTCTTGCTTCTCCTGTTCCAGCCCACACGCCCTTCTTCCTCCCGGTGCTGACGGGAGGTGGTGGAGCAGCGCGGGAGGTGCGCTCTTCGGCAGCCTCTCCAGCGCACTGCCTCGCTGCCCGCTGGGCGGCTGCAGCGCTCCGGTCGGGCGCCCCCCTCGGCTGTTTCCGGGGGAAGGAAAAGCGCAGCTGCCCCCTCCCCCTCTCCGCCTTCCTCCCCCTCCTCCTCCTCTCTTGCTCCCTCCCTCCCGGCCCCCCCTCGGCGCGAGCGGAGCGCGGAGTCACCGCGGCGCACAGACGGGC